TATTATTATCTATTATTGGCCATCAACATGCAAACAAGCTTTAGCGGGGAAAACCCATGGAGCCACCTTAAATACGACAAACATAAACAAAAACAGTRCATGCAACGTTCTTATTTTTATTTGTGAATTAAATATCTTCAATAGTGGCATAAATACTGACACTTATAAAATGATTATCCATTCCAGTATTCCCTTTTTATTGATTATCAAATAGTGTCAACTCCGCCCTAAATATAAGGGAGTCTTCTCTTTGGAATCAAAAGGGATTCTTTGAACCATCAGATACTTCTGGAATGSCCAATGTAATGTTAATGTACATCTGAAAAAATTCAACATCTGTCATATTTTTATTTGAAGACACTGATATGTTAGGGCTATCAACTCTCCTGGATAATCCAAGATTGTCTATTTTTTGGACTCACATCCTTGAGAACSCAGGCATATCTTGTCGTTCGTTTATCAATGCCAGAAATAATAGAATGAATGACAGTAGATTGCACCTGAGCTTTCAATGTAAAATTTATTTTTTCAAGAAAATGATTAATCTCTCATGCTTTTTCAGCATATTGATTAAGAAATGGGACCTGTTTCTTTCCTTTTTTTAATTTGTGCATGCAGAATTACTGAAAATGAGTTATCAATGGTCTGGGACTGTTTCCTTTTGGTTCGGAATTGGAAAAATCTARACTAATAGCAGATTTTTATTGATCTATTAAAGATACAAACTTTCCTGGGGTTGACAGCCCTGCATTTTTCAAGAAATGTTTTAAATTAGTTGTGCAGTAATAAATTGATATAATAAAATTAATGATTTCTTTCTTACTCTTGTCTGCCTCAAAAAGAGAGCTCTRCCAACATAACTCTATTTACAAATTGTTTATTATTACCTATATAGCAACTATTTAAGAGAGAATTTTGTCTTGATTTTATAATTTGATTATAATACGACATGATTTCTGTAGCCATAATATTCTAGATACCTGGAAAAGAATTAACATAGTATTTAGAAAAAATAAACACTAAAATCTGACAGAAAATAACCAAAAAATTTCAGAAAAAGATAATAATATTGGAAAGAAAACACAAGAAAAACATTGCATTTTGTCTCTTATCAAACAGGGAAAAGGTGTATGGAGTATAAAATCTAACAGCATAATTCAGATATAAAATAGAAGTACAACTTACGTTATATTTTTGGAGTTAAGAGGTAATGGTTCYTTTTTCTTCAGTTTTGGTTTGGATTTTTTTCTTTTATTCTTTAATTTTTCTTTSGCTCTGGCTTCTTCTTTCTTCTTTCTCAACCATCTAATTGAGAAATAAAATAAAGAAAACATTTTAGTGAAATACAATATCTGAGTGCCTTGGTGGTAAGAGAAAACACTGAGTAAACAATAATGATTTAACAATAATAATTTAATAATAATAATAATTTTTTATAACAATGACAGTGCAATGGTGTGCAACAATGATGCAGTTTTATTGTTCTTTGTATTTTCATTTCACAGTAGAATTCTTAGAAACACAAGTTATTTTTCCCACAGGATTTGAATCGGGTGGTAATGCACATATCAATGTGTTAGCAGATTAGGTCTATTTATATATTTCGAGGCAGGAGAACTTATTAGGCGAATCACATGATAGTATCTATAATACCAGAGGTTTCTCTCGGCTCACTGCTACGCAGCTCGATGTTGCCGCTTTGTGGCAAAAAACAGAGATATTTTACACAGAGAATAACACAAATAAACTTCTGGAAGCAAGGTACTATAACCATGGTCACAATTTAATATTAAGAAATTATAAAGGAGTTCCTTTTTATGCTGAAAGTTACTCACCTTTTGAAAGCTTCATCACAGAGGTGTCTGTCTCGGATCACAAACTGACTGGCTTCTTCTGACCTTCTYCTTTCTTCATATTGCCTTGCTACCTTTTTCTGTTGTTTCTTGTGGACAAGCCATTCATGGTAAGCACTTTCTGCATCTTCTCGCTTTCTTTGTTCTAGAGATGGATCAGGCTTGTTGCGAGCTTCTTCTTGTCTCCTTTCTCGAGCTTCTTCTATCTTTGCTGCTAGCCATGCCTAGGGATATTTGGAGAGTTTCAGTGTTTGTTATAAAAACAAGCGACCACACTCAAAGAAAATTAAATTACTAGTAATCGTCCCTCATGCTATTCATGAGGTAGGGATGTTTGCTTGTAAACATCCCTTGGAAGACAAAAGAATACGAGGTGATCATGCTATTACTGTAAAAAAGTATGGAAAAAACTTAATAGTCCTTCATTGGAGAGAAAGAATAAAACTCAATTTGAGACTCAGTTTCACCTTTTTAATCAAGTGAAGGACTAATGCTTAGTAAGTTATTTCGCATACTTTTTATTATGAAAAATTTATCTTATTTCACAACTGTTTTTTATAAACACTGACACAGCTCATTAAACTAGTTTACTGCTAGTTTTCATCATTTTTTACAATTACAGCTGTTGACTGTCTTCAAAGTGACACTAATATTTGATTGCTATGATGTATAAATTGCAAGTGAATTCATAAAACAGGCTGCCCCACCAACATAGAAATAATTAGAACACAGAAGAAAAATATAGCAAAAACTCTAAAATCATCACAATAATCTTAACAGTTTTTACCAGAGAAGGTCTTAATCTGTTATTCATGATTTTACTTTATAGGAAATGCATAGAGAGTGAATTTGAAAGAAAGGGAAAATTTTAAAATTTATAATCATTCACTAAGAAAATGTGCAATGGCCCTCAAAAGTTTTGTTTTGTGAAGTGCACCTTTAAGCCATTTATTTMAACTTGTCAAGAACCTATTTGATAAAACATGCCCTGTGGTGCTAAATAAAACTTAAATATCACCTTTAATAATGGTTCTGAGCAGGTAATAAAATTTTCTGCTGTCAAAACATCACCAAACACACTTCAAACTATTATACATCCATGACATATGACAAGTCTATTTACCTGAAATGCACGTTCTGCATCTTCTCTTTTTCTTCTCATTTCCTCGTTCTCTCTTTCCTTTTCTTCTTTCTTTCTTCTCRCAATTGCCTCTTCTCTTCTTCGTTTTATTTCCAGTTGTTCGTCACTCATGCCGTACATGGATTTGATGTGTCCGTATTCATCGCTGCGCTGTCGAGTATATTTTGCACTTGTTGTTCTCCTCTCGGGAGAGCTTTTRTTTCTTCGTCTAGTTCCGTTAACCGTAGTCTTAGGCCTTTGTGCTGTAGGCTTTTCTTCGTTTTTCACCTCTGTTGTCTTATCAGATGCGTGATCACCGTTTGTGTTGACGCTTTCTTTGTCTTTTTCGGGTTTCTCCGGAGAGTTTATCCCTAACATTTCAAAATATTCCGCCTTAATTTCACTAACATCTACAAGTTCGAATTTACCGTCCCTTTCGATTAGAACACGATCTCCGATCATTTCAAGATTTGCAGGTTTCTCGTCTGTTGAATCACTTTGTCCGGCTTCTTCGGGGTTGTCTTTGTTTTTCGATTCTTCATCGCCTCCGTCTTTATCRACTGTGAGATCTTCATCCAAAGCTTTAGATAGTTCATCCTCTTCTTTAGTAGARCTTTCCTGACTATTYTCTCCATTTTGCTGAGAWTTACTCTCGTCCGAGGCCGCTTGATCGGAGGAGTTGTAAATTTCATTCTGGACCGTATTCGAACTTTCGATCAACGCTCGGGGAATAAATTCTTCTTCCATTTCGTCTTCAGAGTTAACAGCCGACGGGGCCGTAATTTCAATCTCTACGCCACTTCTTGGTTCGCTGACGGGGTTTTCCATTGTTTTATATGCAGGACAAATAGATTTTCGACATTAAAAACTCATAATTTAGTACAAGTGTTGTTCGCTTGCTTCTCGCGGTAGCGACGCACGGGATGTTTTGATTGAACATGTTAGCAACGCGTGTCACGTGGCAAAACAAAACTACACAGGAACCCCATAAAATGCAAGTTTTTTTGAGAAAACGTTTTGAAACGTATAAAA